GGATGGATGGATGGATGGATGGATGGATGGATGGATGGATGGATGGATGGATGGATGGATGGATGGATGGATGGATGGATGGATGGGTTATATTTGTGTTGATAAGCCTGAGTGATCTGTTGACTGATCTTTGTATTTGTTCACAGGTTACAATATAAAAATGTTTGTTATAATCATGTCTTGTATTATTTGACAGGAGTTTTACTTTTAAACTGTAAGTGTATTTAATTTAGTTATAATGCAAACAGAATACAAATTAAACCAAGATTTATAATAATTATCATTTTGATCCATACATTAGTAATATCTGACTGGACCTCGTGTCTCTTTATGTTGAGGTCAGAAAGGTTAAGAACCTCTGGTCTTGTGGACATGTCCCTGTGGACCTTAAACATCTGAATAATCATCAGGCTGCTTGGAGAGTGTTTACCTTCAACAGGTCTGTCCTCAGCTTCCTGTGCTCCATGTTCAGTGTCTCACACACCATGATGCCAAACAGCCCTGTGACTACCTGTCAGCCTTTAAACAGACGCTCTGTCCTTTCTTGTCTCTGTCAGTTTGAAGTGGTTTCACTGATCTGTGAGGAGTATCCTTTCTCTTACAAAACCATACAAACCAGTTAGTTTACATAAATAACTTACCTTGTCACCAGCAACCACGCTGGTCTGCATGGTTTCCTTCAGACTGTCTGATCCATCTAAGCTGTACACAGCCCCGGTCAGGTAGAGCTGAGGAAACAACCATTCATCAGCGTTAAAAACAAACTGGTTCCTTCTTATTCTAACTTCACCACTCCTCTGCTGTGTCTCAAAGCAGCTCGTTTTGATGCTGTTCCTTTAAAGGGACAATATCATGTAAAATCAACTTGTTTGAGTTTTATATCATGTTATAATGTTATACTCTCATAAAAACATGCCCTAAGCCTTGCTCTGACTCATTCATCATGTTTGAGAAATCCTGCAGTGTTTTTATGAAGCCATGCTGAGGAGCAAAACAACAGGTGGAGACCAGGAACACCCCTGGGACGTGTCTTTAAGCCGAATTTCCTCATGGCAAAGCACCCCCCCCCCCCTCGCGACTCCAGCAGGCTCTGCGCTGAAATGTGCGTGACCGAAGTGGTTGGATTTTCTTAAAGAGACAGAGACCTATTTCAAGACGTTTAGAAACTGTCAAGATGAGAAGTAAATTGTTTTGGGGATTTTTACAAATATATAGCTCTTTCATAAGCTGAAAATGTGACATAGTTACTTTATTTTAGTATAAAACTGACATATAGGCTTGGAAAGCACTTAATATCCCCCGTTTAAGATGCTTCAAGCCCCGCCCCCCTCCTGCTTCCAGACCGGTCCACTCCGGTTTGAGAGAGGGGGTTACTTTTTCTAGCTTGCAGAAACGCTTGATTTATAATTAAATTAAAGATGTGAACATGTTGGAGCCAGAGAGTGACCCAGAACCAGAGTCTGACCCAGAACCAGAGTCTGACTCAGAACCAGAGTCTGACTCAGAACCAGAGTCTGACCCAGAACCAGAGTCTGAC